GAGTGAAATGGATCAAAATAAAGAATGCGAAACAGACCCAAATGCACCATGCAACCTAAGATGGTTTACAGTTTGATTCTATGATCTTCAAGATCTTTCCAACCTAAATGATTCTATGATGGGTTGGGTATTGTTTGTTGTTTTCTCTTGGTTTGGGGGGGTGGTTGGGGGTTTTTTTTGGGGGGGGCGGGGGGTGGGTGTTTTTTTCCCCTTGGTTTTAAACTGTCAAGTTCTCCCCATTCCCCTTCTGGTTTTCCCATTGCTGACGAGACTGGATTGTTAATCTAAACCTACAGAATGTTAAATTTCTTCTGCTAGGTGCCAGGTGACGTCCCAGCTTTTGACCTGTGCAATACTGGAAAAGGCCACAGGAGGGATGTTGCAGCAAGGTCTTCGAAGTGCTTCCTCAGAAAGCTGTGTGGTACTGGTGGCTGACGCTGGGTCTGGAAGAGTCCTGGCAGAAGTCCGTATCAACTCCAGCTAACCCATTAGACTTTAATTTTATTATACGAGGGCTTAATTAGGTCTCTTGTAATAACTCCAGAGAGCTCACATAAAGCTAGAGAATGACCCCATGTAGTCATTAGAAGCCACAAAATACCTGTGTGAGTCAAAACACCTTACCCAAGGAAGGGAAAACTCTTCATCCATGAGTAATTTCTAAACGACTTTGCATGAATGTGGGAAAATAACTCATTTTTCCTTGGCAATTTCTAAGAAAAGTCATGGGTCATTGGAAAAGATGGTGAGCAGAATGCTAAGCACGCACTGAGCAGCAAGGAAATAGCTGCCACATATTTCTGGCACCAGCCATTTGGCGCTTAATGCTTTTTTGTTGCTGGAAGAACAGATAGAGCCTTAGGCTAGTGAGGTACGCATTAGGTGTGACTCCTACTCATGATTGTTTGAACTGACTTCATTGTAAAACTTTTCAACTTTTCCACTTTTATTTTCTATTGATAGGATAAATCAATCCAGCCCCCAAATAACTGCCATGCCAGTTTTCTGCTTTGTCTTTGCTCTGACTTCTCCCTACCTATCTGTGACTGAGCTCTTAGCATGACATTTCCCTTCTGGCTCTGCCAACAAAGCCTCCAGCAGCCAGGCAAACAGTGGCATTCCTGCTACTCCTGTGCTTGCTGCAAGACCTCTCTCCCAAGAGACAGGCTGCATTTCTAGAGAGATAGCATGCCAGTATTCCTCATAATTTTTTTCATTATCTTCTTGGGAAACCTTTTTCTTAACAGGAGATGAAATCACGGGGTTTTGCATATGCTTTTTTCTGCAGTCTCAAAAGCAAATGCTGTAGGAGGTCAGGTGTTTTGCTGAGCCACCATTGCTGTGGCATTTCTTCTTTGGCTGGCGACATACTATTTTGAGTGGAATCTAGGCAGAAGTCACTCCTGTTGCATGACATGGTGGTGAAACACTGGTTTCCCAGTTCTCAGGTTGCCCAAAGGGGTGATGGATGCCCCGTCTCTGGAAGCACTGAAGGTTAGGTTGTATGAGGCTCTGAGCAACCTGGTCTGGCTGCAAATGTCCCTGCTCATTGCAGGGGTGTTGGACTAGGTGACCTTTGAAGAGTCCTTCCAACCTTAGCTATTATATGATTCTATAAATCATTTCTGTACTTGTGCTTTTGGGTGGAACAAAGTCTTCATCTAACAGTATCTCCCCATCATTCTTTTCCCACATCAGCAATTGCTCATGCACGCTATACTCCAGCAAGTTATTTTAATCGATTAAGATGCCTTTTTTTTTTTTTGTTTCTGAATAAATCTCTAGATTGTTAATTATACTTTTCATCTTTAAATTATGCTTCAGAATTACTGTCTTTTGGTAGTGGCCAGTAAATACCATATGTCTCAGCATGTTATTTGACCACTATATAATGTGCCAGCAGGAGCTGGCTAACTGGAATTTAAGCTTTGTGTGTGTGTGCTACATAGTATAAAATTAGCATCTTGGTCCACTGAGTCCAACTCTGGACCCATGCTTAGGTTCTGGCAGCTCTTTATTTTTCCCTCAGCATTTTGCAGTGGAACAACTTCCCTCCATTTTTCTTTCAGTCTCTGCCTCCAAGACCACAGAGGCTTTTGTCACCTTCATGAGCTTTCTATGAAAGCCATGAATCAAAACACATGGTCCATCACATATGCTCCCTCTGACATGTTTACACTGAGTCAGTCCTCCAACCAAGGTGAGTGTGCCGCAATAAAACTCCAGACAGAGGACCTAGGTGCTGGAGGATGTACCAGCTTTCTGGTTTTAACCTGCTACTCCAAATGCAAAGAGAAGATGCTTTTCCCAAACCAGGCAAGATAATGCCAGGGCAACAGTCCCCATAAACACAGGAGGACAACAGCCCTGACTCCCCATTTCTTCCCTTAAGCTGTCTGTCAGAGCATGCCACTGGGGAAAGACAAAATGAAGTAGGAGAGAACATCCCAGCAGCAAAAAGCTCAGAGAAGAAAGCAACAAAAACCAGGATCTTAGGTTACATCAAACCACTTGCACCAAGAAAAATAAACTTTCAGGTTAGGGCAACAGCACATGAGAGAAAGCCAAGCTGTCATTTGGCTTGAAGGGCTTTTCTTTGTTTGCCCAACCTGCAAGTGTTTAAAATGTGTGCTAGATGGAGAAAGGGAGCAGGAAGAGAGCTTGAAGCAGGCAGGGTTACCTTGAGCCCCAGGATATGAACCTGAAAACACCAAAGTTTTGCAGAGCAGAGAAGGTGCCACTTACATTTTGTGCTGCAATACTTAGCATTTCAAAGCAAGCCACATGTTGCTTTAAAATATCAGCAGATCATCTCTAGAGCATTTTCTAAACACATTTTGCACACGTCCTGATAACTGCTCATGGCTGGTGTCCAAACAAACTACTCAGATGGCAAACTTTGATCTCTGCAGGACTTGACATTTCAGCACACAGGCTGGCAAAACAACAGGCAGGTAAGCAAGGTATGAGGACTCCTCTGCCTTACATACCAGCCGACTTGTTTAGACTCTTGCATTCAGCTTGCCTGGATTCACTGAGAAAGGTGCAGCTAAACCAGGCACAATGCCATCTCATTTCCGTAGCACAGACTTGTGAAGTTCTCTAGGCCTTATTTGTTGCATAAGGAGTAAGGCAGGTGGCTGCAAAGAAGCTGAAATGATTGCTGCTGGGCATTTAAAGCAGTCATTCATGATTGCAGTTTCCCATTTGGTACCAGTGGTGATTAAAACTCAACTAATCTAAGCCTCTCCTCCCTTTCCCTCAAACATTTTTTGCCTGTCATACTGACACAGCTGTTTGTGTGTCTGTACAGTGGATTGGATCACGAACTGAACTGGCTAAAAATAACCAAGGATAGAGTGGAGAATTATTACTCTTTAGCCACTGAAGCTTTCCAGTCCACCTCATGATGCACACACAGCTGCACTGTCACAGTAAGCACAGCAAGGGAGTACTAGTACTGTTTAGAAGGGCATGTAGTGACGGCAGAAGGGGGAATGGCTTTAAACTGAAAGAGGCGAGATTTAGATAAGACATTCAGAAGAAAATATTCACTATGAGGGTGGTGAGACACTGGCACAGGTTGCCCACAGAAGCTATGTCTGCCCTATCCCTGGCAGTGTTCAAGACCAGGCTGGATGAGGCTTGGAGTGACCTTATCTGTGAAAGGTATCCCTGCCCATGACAGGGGCTTGGAACTGGATGATCTTTAAGGTCCTTTCTAATTCAACCATTCTATGAGTAAATGACCAAGAGGACACACAGAAGAGGTGAGGAGGGGACGGTCATGCTGACTTGGAAAGAAAAGCAGGGGGAACCATAGCTTCGGTGGGATAAGCTGAGTAGTACAAACCTGGCAGCTTCACTCCCCAGATACTTAGCAAGAGATGAGCACTGATTCCAGCTGCATAATGTACATTTGAAAAGATTAATTTCCTGGTCCTCCTCTGGAAGTACTCCTTGGGTGCAAAAAAAGGTGGATTTCTGTTTAATGCTTTTGTCCTGCTTTCTCTTAACTCCTTACTGCTCCCCTGGAGCTGTTGTTTCATGAAGTGGACTGCATGGTGGCAATACCAATTTGAGGAACTGCTGAGTTCTTTACATGTTTGTTACCACCCGCCCCGGACTGCAGTTTTCCCTCCCTTGTGCCAACCCTGCTGTTTGTGGAGCTGTGCTGAGTGCTGGATCAGGGAAGCAATCCGAGTTAAAAATAGCCCAGGGTGGCTGGGGATGGCAAGTGCTTCAGCCATCCAACGTAATCTGCTGTCACAAGTCAGCGAGAGCTGCTTGCAACTGCAGGAAGAAATGAAAGCCCAGCCTTGGAGACACCTATTTGCTACAAGAAATATGAACTTTTTCAGCCAGCTGAAGGACCCTTATGAACGGCGAGGCACGAATGAATCCTTTGCTCGTGCTTGTAAGGGACAAGAGAGCAAACCTCACCGTGCATAGATGCCAGCAGAAAACCTCTTCACATAAGCCTTACTTCAGCAGTTCTTATATGATGAGCTAATGGCAGTGTATGCTATTCGGCTAATGTATATTGTTTATTCTGTGGGTTAAGAAGGAAGTTACCATGTTTTTTTAAGTGCTGTAAGGGTACTGCAGCTATGGGGCTGTGCTAGTACCAAGGAAGAGAATAGAAGAGTATTCTTCACAGACATGAATTTAACAGCTTCATGGTACAAAGTGAAGTACCAATCTGTACATGTGTTCCAGAACACCTCTTCTCAACTCTAGCAAAACAATACCACTGCTGTGATGCACCAGCACTAACCTACAGGAACACAGCAGCAGTGACATGATTTTCACCTACTCATAGGCTTGGAGGGGAGCATCTGTAATTATTTATTTTCTCGTATTACAAGCCAATACCTGTTTTTTTTCTGGTTACTCTTTTTTGGTTCATGCCTCCTGGGTTGAGTGTGTCTGAATACCAGTCATTTCCTTCTCCTGTCCCTCCTACTTCTGACTTGGCACTTCACTGCTTCCCTCTCCAGGAATGCCCCCACTGGGAGCTGGCTGGCTTGAGCACTATGGCGAAGGAGGTGAAGCATCCAGAGCCTCCGAGCCTGAGGAATTTCAGGATCTTCTCAAGTTACTTTTCTTGAGAAAGGAATTCATCCTTCCTTCACATGCATTAGTGGTGCTGTACACACTGAGGTGGAAGATGCAGTTGAAACCCACAATTACATTAACGTTAGCAGCTGCATCGCATATTAGCCATGTGAAAGCAAGTGCCTGAGCCTTATAGGGCAGGATGTGGCTGCCCTAAGGCAAACTGAATGCTTCCACACCAACTTCTGAGCTTGGAATAGGCCTGAGACATAACATCACTGTCAATCATGCCAGGTTCCTCCTTAGATTTCAGGGGCCCAGAACAGGTACCACTGTATTTTGCCACCTTCTTTCACCTTTCTAAGAATATGAGGACTCAAGTGGTTTAAATTCTTTTCTCTGTACACGCAATGAAAAAATGTTGTGTTCCACTCCTTTGCCCCCTGCATTCCCATTGCTGCTTCCTCTTGTCATAACTATTAAAATATTTTTTATTTTATTGTATTATTTTTCTAAATAAAAGAGCTTGGGGCTCCTGCTTGACCCCGGGTTCACATAAAGGTTTGATCATATGTCAAATGAATTGGGAAGATAATTACAATCTCTCTAATGCATACTATATGCAAACTCTGATTTTTGTGCTTTGCTTCGTATTTCTGTGGGCCTGAAGGCACAGAGAGAAATCAAAGGTCAGCTGTTAAAGAAATCAGGCAGGAAAAGGAAGCAGTTGACCAGCAGAGGCATCTTCTTAAGCAGAACAGTGAGGTGCAGAGTTGTGGGAAGCAATTTCTCAGTCCCTATCCTAAGAAAGATCTGCTAAGGCTGGGAAAAGGCAAATCAAATTACACAGGCCTGTCAAAAGCTCTGCCTTCTGTAAAGGCAGATGCATGTTGTATGTGCTTTGGGCTGGTGTGGGGTAAGCAAGGAGAGACTGTTGTTTTGTGAGGGGAAATACTGACAGAATAGGGACAGAGAGAAGCCTCCTCTGTGGTTCTGTGTCTAAAGATGACATCTAAACCATAGCTAAGTAGGTTTCAGCAGTATTGTGAAGGTCAGCTTAAGGTAGAGACATAGCAGGCAGTGGCCAAAAGCAACCTATGACCAGCAATCGGCAGCACAATTGCAAGAGCTCTGGAAAGCAAAAAGCCCCGAGTCCAAATATAAGGGAGCAACTATTTGGAGAGGGGGCCTGGAGAATGGTTACCCTTCTCCTATGCAGCTTTTACCGTCTCCAAATCACGTTGTCTTCCCAGCAGCTTCAGGAAATCCAACTCCTCAGTCTTTTTTCCTAGCTGTCCATCCCATTTCAATCTCTTCAGCATGCCCCTTCCCTCAGTGGCCTGGTTCAACCACTTACCTTTGTGATGACAAAATGCCTTGTTAACACCTTTACTTTGTGTTGTGCTTGCACTATTACCAGAGAAACCTCTCCAGGGAAGCTTTGTCAGGTATCAGACCAGCTGCATTCCCAAGCAGCTTACTTGGTCTGGCCTCCCGAGACTTGCTGCAAGTTCTGTGCTTTTTTAGAGGAAGGTTACTTCAGTCAATTCTTACAGGCTGTGCACCCAAGGTGTGCTGTGGTGTGGCAGTTATTTCAAGCTGCATGTCCATTACGGCTGTTCAACAAGTCCGTTGCAAGCAATGCTGACTTGTATCCAGTCAGGCTGTGCTTTGTACAGTGATTGCCAAAGGGAAGGAAACAAAGGAGTTTGCATATCTTTGCACTCTCTGCATCCCATGAAGATGTTTGGACCTGGTATGGCCTGCTTTAATCAATGGGTGCTTTCATTTACCCTTGAAGGGTTACTATGTACTGTCCCACTCAACCCAGCATGTCTCCCAGCTAGTTAGCTCCCTTCACATAGATACCTCCATAGCAAGTCTCTTCATAGCTTCCCTTACTCAGTCAGGCTCTGATGCTCTCTAGTTCTTAGGCTCTCTCACATGTGAGAGCGTCCCTGTCATGTGAATGAGCATCCCAGACAGGCCAGGCCTCTGAGAAGAAAATCAGACATATGTCAAAGTCCATTAGGACTGCAAAAGCAGTGTTATCAGGTGGATTCATGAATTTTCTACTAAGCAAGCTAGCAAGGACTTAAATGAGAAAAGGGAGGGAACAGTTGAGAGGTGTATCAGCCTGCTTATGAGATATATCAGGATATATCAGCCTACTTATGAGATATAACAGGATATATCAGATATATCAGATAGATCATGGAAAGGATAAAGGTCCTTCAGAGTTTAGGATATGAATGCATAAGCAGCAAAGCAGACTATTCCAGCAATGTCTTTTGGGGCCTCTGTTTGCTCCACCTCCTGAAATATCCTGTATTTCCCTTTTTTCAGAGATGGGGGCTGGTGCTGTTGTGTCTCTGGTTATCCAGATCACTGTTGTTGTAGGAAAGGGGAAACGTGGACAGAAAGAAGTTTGCTGTGCAAGCAGGAGCACTTTGTTTGATAGATCTCAAAAATGCTTTAGAGATTACACATAAAATACTCCTAAAATTCTATTAAGCACACAAAACACACCTCTTGTCCAAGGTCAAAAGCAGTTTGGTTTCCCAGTCATACATAGTGAAGAGCAATGTAAAAGAAGCTGTATTTCAGTCATCACTATTCAACATCTTTTTTTTCAGCAGAGGACTGGAAAACTGGACCCCATACAACCCAGGTGACAGAATTAGTAAAATAACCTGAGACCAGCTGCAGCAATGCTAGAACCAGGTTCGTCTACCAGCAGCACGGTGCATCACTGCGCAGTAAGGTTCTGTCGCTTTCTCTCATAAAGGAATAGTGAGCACTGTGTGGCATCCTCTGGCTTTTCAGATTCATGCAGAAATGTTACATGAACATGAAAGCCCATTCTAAGAATACCTCTCACCTCCAGATTCTTATTTGCATTGCACAGCAGCTGTGCTAAGTATATAGTCATCCCTCTGTGAGGGACAACATGTGTCTTTCCAAATCTGATCCTGCAAGGGGCCAAGAAACTGATGCCAGAGAGGTCACTCTGGGGAGAAAGGAAGAAAAAAAGATGGGATAACAGACAACATGAGAGTGAAAAAATTTATTTCAGAGATGTCATTCATCCATTTGCCTTAGGTATTTCTAAAGTGCTATAGTTTCACTGCACTATCTAAGCACCATTAGCACAGCAGGAATTTGCAGTGTTTTACAGAGCTCCCTCAGCTGGCAGGAGGACCTGGGCACCCCCTGGTGACCATGGGTCTGGGATGGAGTATGCTGGGGATGGTCTGCCGAAATTTTAATAGCCAATAAACTTTTTATTCTGGCTTTTTTTTCCCCTAGTGGTCTCACACTATAATCCTAAAGGAGGTGATGGCTGGTAGAGTGCCAGTGAGCTAGCTGCTGTGAAAGTAAACCTTCTGGTTCTTGACTTTTTGCACATGCCCGTACCTCTGCCTTCTGAATTTGGCTCATGAGTTTGTGCTGCCTATAAAGTGAATAAATTCCTGGAAGAAGAGGAACATACCCTGTAATTTCTGCAACAGCAAAGGAAGGGTGGTGCCCAGATTCTCTTCTCCAGCTGGATGATCACAAATAGTAAAGGGCACACAGGCTAGGGGAAGTGAATTATTTCAGCCAAGTGACGCTGAACAGGGAAAACTAACAGTGGCTGTGGAAAGGAACTCCAGAAATGTGCTTACACTGGTAAGCAATCCAGTCCTAAGCCACTATGACTACTGCACTGGCAATGTGCTATGAACCCTAAGGCCACTTTGATTTGGCATACAGTTTTAAATAAGTTCATAAAGATTAGAAATAAATGCATCTCAACTCTTTCATTTACAGACCACTGTTAAGTATACACAGCACTTCACAAAGCATGTAGAAGGAAAAGAAATGCCCTGAAGACTGCTGTGAAGGCATATTCAGGGGCAGCTGGCCTAGCCTTCTCAAATTGAGTCCTGATGCAAGGGTTTCCCTTTGAGTTCAGCCCAACTATGTGCAGACCTGGGTTTGATTTCATTGATCTGCTAGAGGGACTCTGTTCAGAATGCCAGAAGAAAAGCTGCATTCACAAGATTCTTTTCCCTGGCAAACAGGGCTTCTCAGCCAAACAGTTTTAGTGCTGTAAATTTCCTTTAGGAAACTCAAAGTGGAACGGGACAGACACACACAAATTGATCAGCTCTACAGCTGGAGTGCAGCATAACCTTTGAATTCAGTTAAAAATGAGCCTACCAACAGAGAACTGTAGTATCCCTTCTGAAAGTCTGCTAGCAAATGAAAATCTTGATGCTTCTGGAACCAACTAAATGACCATTAGTCACATTCCCAAGCCACTTTCCAGAAGTGGGCAGAAATCAATAAGTCATTGGTTTGAAGCTGTTCATAGAACAAGAAAAACAACAACAAACAAACAAAACTATAAGCAAAAATGTGCATTTGCAAACAAAGGCTTTGGTTCCTGTGTAAACAAAGCCCACCCCATTTCTGAAAGCTCCTTCTACTTCCCTGAGCAGCTGCATATAAAGGTGCCTTGTTCCTCTAGGAGCGGCAAGCAATTTCATGCTCCCCCTACAGCTCCTTTTTATTAAACTATATGAAAATAACATTTTATCAGCAGTTGAGTGTCAAGAAACTGGCTTGGGGCTTACAGAAAGGATCCCTGCAGTCTCCTGGGGAACAGCAAGTTCTGTAAGGCAAACCATCCACAAGCATCTGTGGCCAACAGCTGCTCAAATCCATGGATGTTCTTAGCATCTTTATTTCCTTCATCTCTTCCCCACCACAGCTCCAGTCTTTTCACTGGCTTCAGTCTGCAATCCTTTTTCCAGAGACCTACCAAAGCCATGAAGCCAGTTGCAGGGTTAGTAACATACATCACAAAACCACAAACCTTTTTCTAAGCTCCAGCAGTGCTGGGTAAGCACACCAGTCAGTACCACCACTAAAACGATCAGCAGCAAAAGTCAAACATATAAACAATGTAAAGTGTTGCACTGCAATTCCTTGTAGTCAAAACCATGAGGGGAAGTACATCTTACAACTTCCACCAGTATGTACCTGTGTAAAATGAGGAGGAAAAGTACTATACACTGAGTGACATTTAGAAGTCATTACTTGCAACCATAGGAGCCAGAACTTTTTTTATAGATATATAAATTAAACAACTCAATTCCAGATCTTATACACACACACACACACACACACACACACACACACATAAAATATTCAGTGTAAAACTGAATGTTCTGATATGAAAATTCAGATGTTTTGGTACAAAATCTGTATCTCCCAGCTTCTTATTGATAAATGCAAGCATATACAGTATGTTTCATGTTTTCAGAAGTATCGATATGGTGTACTGTTGTATAGCTAGTCATTTTTACTACTTCCATGGTGTGTGCATGCATGATTGCTCACATGAGAGCGTGAAGATACACTTAGTACAAAAGCTAGTTTGTGTGTATGCAAATACAT